TCCTCCTCCCCCTCCTCCTCCTCCTCATCCTCCTCCTCCTCTTCCTCCTCCCCTCGGACGGGTCCCCAGACCCGGGTCTGGGTCTTGTGTCCTCTCGCGTGCCCTCTCCAATCCGCCCCGGCCGCCCCCCCTGCGCGCGCCGCCGCCCGTCGGCGCCGACGAGCGCCCGCCAGGCCGCCCCGGCCAGGCGCGCGGCCCCTAGGGCGCCATGGCGGCGGCCGCCGCGCACGGCGCCGAGGCCCAGGGGAGGAGCATCTGGGTCCTCACTCCTCCTCCTCCTCCTCCTCCTCCTCTCCTCCTCCTCCTCCTCCTCCTCCTCCTCCTCCTCCTCCATCCCTCCATCCTCCTACCATCCTCCTCCTTTTTCCTCTCCCTCCTCTCTCCTCCTCCTCCTCCTCCTCCTCCTCCTCCTCCTCCTCCTCCCTCCTCCTCGTCATCATATCATCATCATCATCATCAATCATCATCATCATCATCATCATCATCTCATCATCATCATCAACACCATCATCTCCATCATCTCATCATCCTCCTCCTTTTTCCTCCTCCTCCTCCTCCTCCTCCTCCTCCTTCCTCCTCCTCGTTGTTCCTCCTCCCTTTTTCCTCCTCCTCCTTTTCTCCTCGTCCTCCCTCCTTTTTCCTCCTCCTTTCTCCTCCTCCTCCTCCTCCTCCTCCTCCTCCTCCTCCTCCTCCTCCTCCTCCTCCTCCTCCTCGGTGGGGCCCGAGCAGATGGTGTCGGAGGATCGCGTCGCATCGCCGAGGCATCGCCGATGCGGCTCGGTGCGGAGCCCGGTGTTCTCCACGCCGACGGCGCCGATGCAGCGCCGACGTCGCCGATGCATCGCTGATGCGTCGACCATGCATCGGCGGTGTAGTGACGGTGCGGCGCGATCCTCCGACCCCACCTACTCTGACCCCATCTAGGAGGCCTCTAGAAAAGAAGTGCCGGCCCAGGCCCCCTCGAGCCCAGAACCCCTCGGGCCATAAATCGAAATCACGACGCGAGAGTCTTTGCCTCTGGGGGCCCTCGCAGGGCCTCGGGACCATCAAGGAACGACTCAGGACGAAACGCCAATCCCAAGGAAGGGGTCGAGACCTCTGCAGGTGCCGACGTTGTGAGACATGCGTGACGTCGAGGGTCCGGGAAGCATGCACCAGCCACGACGACCAGTTCTTGCTCCCCGTTGTCGGGCTCTCGGGGGCCCGCACTTGGCCCCAGGGCCGTCCAAAAACAAAAAAAAAACTCGGGGCTGAACAGCTGGTCCTGGGGAACGAGTCGAGACCTCAGAGGAGGCAGAGGTGCCGAGGCCGTCCCCCCCCCAAAAAAGACTCTTGGATGAACAGCTGGTCCTGGGGAACGGGCCGAGGCCTCCTAGGAGGAAAGAGGTGGGCTCGCGCCGCCGCGGCGGGCTCGCGCCGCGGAGGCAAGCCGAGGCCGCCGCGGCGGGCCCGCCCCGCGCGGGCGCCTCGGCGGCGGGGCCGGCGCGGGCGCTCGAGGTCTGAGAGCGCCGCCGCTGGCTCGATGAGACGGATCGGGGTGGCCTCTCGCCGGAGGGGCCTCGTCTGGTGACCGGGCCCAATTAGGGGGTCCCCGGTCGCAGAGCGCGGTGCGGCAATGGAGGATGACGATTAAGAAATGACCGGGGGTCGTGTTCACGCGGCGGCGCCCGGGATGACGATTAGAAAAAACCGGCCGCGGGCTGGAACATTATGTTTGAAATCATTCTCCTCCAGTCGGAAAATGGTGCAGACAAAAGCAGGAAACTATTTTTTCAATCGTCCCCCCCATTTTTTTATTAATCGCCATCCCGCATTATGGTGGCGTCCTGCACGCGCCCGTGTGTTCGGACTCCCCCCGCGGCCCCCCCCAAGAGACCCGCGCAGCAGAGGTCACAGCCTGCCCAGGGGTCACTCCTGCGTGTCATTCGTCGAGTGGCCTGGGGTCGCAAGACGTCGAGCGATCTGCGCCGCCAGAACGCCGCGGTCGCTTGTGCTTGGGCGGTCCACACGGTGGCGGAGACCAGCGCCGATGCCACCGCGACGTGCAAACCTGCCGTACCCTCTCCTCGTTGTCGCCCTCTGTGGGGCTCCTTTGGGGGGCCCTGCTCGTGCCCCCTGCTGGGTTCGCCTCGAGAGGCGGGTTAGAAGGAGCCTACTTTTTCGGTTCGGGCAGGTTCCCTCGCAAGTTCACTTGCATGGCGTTCGCCCCCCACCTCCCCCCCATCGCCCCTCTTGAAACGCACGCTGGCGCGCCACGTGCCTTCGACTCGCGCGGTTGCCGCACGTGCAGGTCGTCCGCGGCTTGCTTCAGGTTCAGGCCCCCCCCCCGCCCATGCCAAGTGAGCCTGCCAGAGTCTAGAATGAACCGGCTCCATGCGCCCCGGGAGAGGTCCGGGGAGCAGCGGCATCGGCATCCTTCTTCGGCCTCCCCGGATCGAGGCCGCGCGCCTGGCGCTCAAGGCCCGCTTCGAGGCCGCGGGCGGGCGCTGGTGCGCCGGCGACGCCCTGGGCTTCCTGGGCCTGGGCGGCGCAGGGACGCCGACGCAGGAGGCCGTCAATAGGCAGTTCCGGAGGCTGTCCCTGGTGATCCACCCGGACAAGGTGTCGTCCCTGCCTGACCCGATCCAGGCCGAGTGTGCCAGCTCGGCGGCTCAAGGGTGGGGCTCTGCGGGGTGCGGCCCTGCGAGGATGGACGAGGGCATCCCCGGGTGGGTTTGCCCTGTTTGGGGCGCCTCGTCCGCGCTGTCGTGGGACTGGGCGCTGGCTGTGCTTTGCCGAGCGAGCCACACATTGGATCCTGGCAAGCAGCCGCACAAGACAGCGTCGCGTGGGCAGGTCTGACAGAAGACTTCTGGAACTGCTTCGCGTGGGCAGGCGCGCCGCTTCCTGTTTGCCGATGCATTCGCAGCGAACTGGCACTTGCACTTGCTTGTTGCTCCCTCGCGCCCTGCATATTGGGCCCGTCCTCGTGCAGGCGGGGTGACGCAACGTGGGGCACCTCGTCCTTGGGATGGGCCCGTCTCTTGGAGCCGCCGCCGACGGCCTCAGGGCCTCGCCAGGGCGGCCACCAGAAGCCCAAAATACAGCACAGCCTCCCGTCGCGTCTTTGTCACGGCCCGAGGGGTTATGGGGTTCTCAGGGCCCCATCCTCCCAGGGCCCCGTCTTTGAACCGCCGACCAGCAAGATTCACGAGCTCGCCGCCCACAGGGACAGGTCGGACGTGGCCAGGACGGGGATAGAGCCGTTCCAGAGCGCTCCAGAACGTTTTTAGAGCGCTCTTGGAACGGCCGCGGCGCTTGATACATCCTCAATACCCGCTGAACGCTGAGACCCGACGGCGCGAAAATGTTGAAACATCGCCAAAGATCATCACCGGAGACCCCCAGAGGTCTGGACCCCTTCCGGGGAACCTGTTTGTCACCCTGAGCCCTTTTTTGACGGTCCCGAGGCCCAACGAGGGCCCCCAGAGGCCGAAAGTGGCGAAACACCTCCCGCCACGACTTCTTCACGACGCGAGGAGGTCTGGGCCTCAGGGATCCCTGGAGATTTCCGACTCTCCCCCTCTTCCTCCTCCTCCTCCTCCTCCTCCTCCTCCTCTCCACCTCCTCCTCCTCCTCCTTCCTCCTCCTCCTCCTCCTCCTCCTCCTCCTCCTCCTCCTCCTCCTCCTCCTCCTCCTCCTCCTCCTCCTCCTCCTCCTCCTCCTCCCCCTCTCTCCTCCCCCTCCTCCCGGGTCTGCCTTCGTCTCCACAGGGCTCTGCGACTCTGCCCCGCGCGTGCGGCCAGCATCTGGTTGGCCCAGGAGGGGGTCCAGCGACGGGGGGGTGCTGCGATGGATTCTCGGTGCAACACCTCTGGGGGGTTGCAACGCAGACGTGCTCGCGTCGTGAAGAATCTGCGCGGGCGGTTTTGCGCTATCTTCGGCCCCATGGGGGCCCTCGGCGGTTCCTGGGACCATCAAAAACGACTGAGGATGAAAGACCGGCCCCGGGCAAAGGGTCTGGACTTCCATGGACGCCGTCCTGAAGAAATCAGGACCTCGCATGCCTGGCAATAGATTTGGGGCGGGCAATGCATTCCGGTGCGCAAATGTACACTGCTTGGCTCTCGCTGCAGTACACTGCAGTCCATTTCTCCGTCGCAGTACATTTGCAACACGATTGCCCCAAATCTACAGTCGGGCTGCTGAAATAAGGAACGCTGAAGAAGGAACGAAGCCCCTCTGTGGCTTCAAAAAAGCCTGGGTGCACGAGAAGGGCTAGAGTAACAACCACGGAAGGACGTAAGGAACATCGAGCCCCTGCCGCATCCAAACTGTTCCCTATTTCAGCGTCTTGGTTGTATTGCGCCACCCCCTTTCACAGCTGGACCCCCCTTGGGGCCAACCGAGCAGCAGCGCCGCGCCGGCGCCGGCCACCGGGTACTACGCCGCGCAGCCGAGGCCGCCGCGGCCGAGCCGGCCAGGGCCGGCCAGGGCGCCCGCGGCCCCAGGCGCCTGCGCAGACTGCAGGGCGCCGAAGGCTCAGAGGAGGGCCTCCACCTCCTCCGCCTCCTCCGCCTCCTCCTCCTCCTCCTCCGCCTCCTCCTCCTTCTCCTTCTCCTCCGCCTCCTCCTCCTCCTCCTCCTCCTCCTCCTCCTCCTCCTCCTCCTCCTCTTCCTCCTCCTCCTCCTCCTCCTCCCCCTCCTCTTCCGTAGCAATTCTGGCTCAAGTTCTGGCCCACGCGCAATGACCACAAGGCATCGGCAGCGCCGCTGCTTCAGGACCCAAGCAGCAGAGATGGCTCCGATGATGAAGTCCACGGTCATGACCAAGGGCGCCCTCACCGCAGCGCTCGCGGGGGCCTGCGAGTTGAAGAGGGGCGTGATCAGCACGGCCTTCAGCACTCTCGCGAGCATCGCAACGACAGGCAAAGAAAAACGGCAAGTTCGTTATCCCGGCCGTTGTGATGATCAAGACCCGCAAGACGAAGGCGACCAAGGCCGGAAAGCGTGAGATCTTCGGCAAAGTCGCCATGGTGAAGGCGAAGCCAGCTAAGACGATCGTTAAGGCCTTCCCCGCGAAGGCTTTCAAGGACGAGTTCTGAGGTCCTCCTTGTCTTTGGTGAGCACCGCGAAGTGGCTCTGAATGTGTTTCCTTAGTTCATCCTCTATCCTCCCTCCCTTCAAAGAGTCTTCGTATTATCTTGTTCAGGTTCGCTGGAGGGCGCGTGGTCGTGCATGGGCTCCTCCTCCTCCTTCTTCTCCTCCTCCTCCTCCTCCTCCTCCTCCTCCTCCTCCTCCTCCTCCTCCCCCCTTTCGCCCCTCTGAATCTCCTCCTCCTCCTCCTCATCATCATCAGCAGCATCAGCATCATAATCATCAGCATCATCATCGTCGTCAGCATCATCATTCTCATTATAATCCTCATCAGCATCAGCATCATCAGATTCAGCATCATCATCATTACCATCGTCACCATCATCCTGTTCATTATCATCATCAACAACATCATCATCGTCATCCTCATCCTCATCATCGTCAACAGCATCATCATACAGATCCTCCTCCTCCTCCTCACCATCCTCATCATCCTGATCCTCATCCTCCTCATCATCATCATCATCATCGTCATCAGCATCATCCTCCTCATAAGCAGCAGCACCATCATCTGAGTCATCGTCATCACCATCATAAGCAGCATCAGCATTATCATCAGCAGCAGCATCATCATCAGCAGCATCGTCATTGTCGTCGTCATCCCCTACCCTCCTCCTCCTTCGCCTCTTCCCCTTCCACCTCCTCCTCCCCTCCTCTTCCTCCTCCTCCTCCTCCTCCTCCTCCTCCTCCCCTCCGACCCCTCTCCGCCCCTCCTCCTACTCCTCCTCCTTCTCCTGCTACTTCTACTCCACCTGCTCTTATCCTCCCCCCTTCCGCCCCTCCGAATATCTTCGTAATTGTATGCTGTTGATGATGATTGTTACTAGTGATTTTAGTAGTATTACTCATGTTCCTCCTTAGTATTAATAGTATCATTAGTATTGCCATTAGTCGTAGTGTTAGTATTGGTATTATCATTCGTATTCTTATTATTTGTTGGTATTGCTATCATCATTATTCTGATTCCTCTGATTCGACTTCTTCGTCTTCCTTCTCCTCCTTCTCCTCCTTCTCCTCCTCCCCTTCGCCCCCTCTCCACTCCTCCGAATCTCCTCCTCCTCCGCCTCTTCCTCCTCCCTTTCGCGCCCCCCCCCTCTGCCCCTCTTAATATTATCCTCTTCCTCCTGGTCTTCCATTTCCTCCTCCTCCTCCTCTTCCTCCTCCTCCTCCTCCTCCTCCTCATCCTCGTGTGGGACCCCGCTTCTTGGTTAGCGTGGCCTGTGCTGGTCGCTCAGGCCGCTCCGATGGTGTGGTAGCCGATACCGATGCCCAGAGGAGTGCGAGTTGAGACAATGGTAGTTGGCCTTCGGGGGGGGTCTCGCGTCGCCGCGGCTGGACGCAGCTCGGCGGACCCGTCCGTTTGGAGCCCGAGGTTGAGCTGCCACTGCCTCCTCCTCCTCCTCCTCCACCACCTCCTCCTCCTTCCCCCTCCTTCCCTCCTCCCCCTCCTCCTCCTCCTCCTCCTGCTTCTCCTCCTCCTCCTCCTCCTCCTCCTCCTCCTCCTCCTCCTCCTCCATCCTCCGAAGGCGCTCTGGATGGGCAGCGAGCTCTGGCTCTGCGCCCCCTGCTGGGCCCTGCGCAAGAAGGCCATGCAGCAGAGCGAGGCGGAGCGCCGGAGCGCCAGGAGGGCGAAGGCGACGGCGGCGGGAGGCGGCGGCCAGAAGCGGCAGCGGACAGACGCGGGCCCAGCCCGGCCTCTCAGGCCTGGCCCCCAGGGAGGCGAGGAGGAGGAGGAGGAGGAGGAGGAGGAGGAGGAGGAGGAGGAGGAGGAGGAGCGGCGGGAGGCGGCGGGGGCCAGAAGGCGCGAGGCGAGGGCGGGGCCGGGGGCGACCGCGACGAGAGGCGGCGGCCAGAAGCGGCAGCGGACAGACGCGGGCCCAGCCCGGCCTCTCAGGCCTGGCCCCCAGGGAGGCGAGGAGGAGGAGCGGCGGGAGGCGCCGAGGAGGGAGCGGGGGCGGGGGGCCGCTGAGGCCGGCCGAGAGGGCGAGGAGGACCTGCGGGAGGCGCTGCGGAGGGCGCTGCGGAGCGTAGTCGTCGAGGAGGGCTGGGAGGACGGCTGGACGGACTGGGAGGAGGATCAGGGGCAACGATAAGGGGTGGATAGGCATAGGTCACCGAGCGCGTTCCACTGCTCGCAGGGTGCTTACTCGCAGACGTCCGAAAACACACATGCCCGATGTGATGTAATGAATTGTAGATCCTCCGCGGAGGGTCCAGGCCATTTGCGAGTAGTTGCTTTGCGAGTGTAACGCGCTCGTCTGATAAGGGGGGATGCATCGACCCCCAATTACCCATTGATCGCCGATAGGGGCCTGGTAGCCCCAACCTGCCCAGGAAGGTGCGGATTCACGATCGGAGGCCCATCGCCGACCTATCGGCGATGTTTCGCCGATTCCAGGTCGATGCATCCCCCCCTATGCCAGTCCCCCCTATCGTTGCCCCTCAGAGGAGGAGGAGGAGGAGGAGCAGGAGGACTGGCAGGACTGGCAGGAGGAGGAGGGCTGGCAGGAGGAGGGCTGGCAGGAGGAGGGCTGGCAGGAGGGGGATGCCGAGGGGGAGGCGGCCTGCGCGGCGGAGGCCCAGGCGCAGGCCGCGGAGGAGGGGCTGCCGCCCGGCTGGGAGGAGAGGCGCAGCCGCACCACCGGCGCCGTGTACTTTTACAGCAGGCTGACGGGGGTGTCGCAGTTCGAGAGGCCGGGAAGAGCGCGCCGCCCAACCCCAGACCCCCATCGCGTTGTGCAGGGACCGCGGCGGGAGGCTTCTTGCTATTTTTGTCGGCCTCTGGGGGCCCTTGTGCCAGCCCTCGGGACAGTAAAAAAACGGTTCAGGATGAACATCCGGTCCAGGGGAATGGGTCGAGGCCTCCAGGGGTCGACGTAACGAAAAAATCATGACGTCGGGGGTCTGGGAACTGCGCCGGCCGCGCGACCACCCGCGCCGGCCGCGCGATGGCCTGCACCATCATGGCAAAAATTGTAGTCGTGCTCTGTGGTCCACACGGCCCTGCCCATGGAGTGAGCATCCAGGCGAGGAGAGGCTGAGGGCTGGAGGACATGAATGGCTCCTTGTCTCGAGCCCAGCGAGCGCCTTCATGCATCGGGAGCGCGCCCAGCGCTGAGGCGGGAGCACCCCGCACCCCCGACGTAGAGCACCCCGTGCCCCCGACGCCGTCTTCCTTCACTGCGTGAGTCCCCAGAGCTCTCGACCCCTTCCCAAGGAATGGCTCTTCATCCTGCATCGTTTCTCTTGACGGCCCTGGGGCCCTAAGAGGACCCCCAGAGGCCGAAAGTGGCCAAACGAGAGTCCATCGTCCTTTCGTTGCCGAGACGTGCGGGGCTCTGGGACCGATCTAAGTCAGGAGTTAAAAACATAGACACAATTAGATTCGTCGATTCCCAAGAAAATGGGGGGAAAGTATGGGCAATGGGGCGGAAGACGAAAACCCAGAAAATATAGGAAAGTATGGGGAATCCTGGGACTTGTGTGTGTGTCGTCTTCAGAATGTGGCTCTCGCCTTAGCGCCGCGCACATTCGCTTCAACAATTTGAAAGAGATTCACAGATTGAGGGCGGGTGGTTTTCAAAATGTGGCTCTCGCCTGAGCGCCGCGAGCATTCGTTTTAAACATTCGCAGGAGTTTCACGGATTGAGGGCGGGTCGTTTTCAAAATGTGGTTGTCGCCCCAGCGACGCGCACATTCGTTTTAAACATTTGCAGTAGTTTCACGGATTGAAGGCGGGTCGTTTTCAAATTGTGGTTCTCGCCTTAGCGCCGCGCATTTTCGTTTTAGACATTGCAAGAGTTTCGTGGGTTGAGGGCGGGTCGTTTTCGAAGTATGGCTCTCGCCTTAGCGCCGCGCACATTCGCTTTAAACACTTGGAAGGGCTTCACGGATGGAGGGCGGTTCATTTTTAAAATGTGTTTCTCGTTTTAGCGCCGCGCACATTCATTCTTAGTGAAGGAAATTGCAAGGTGCTCGCTGCTTCCAATGATCAACGTATCAGAAATGGTGTATTGAAAGGATTCAGGATTAGGTATGCGGGCGCAACAGCTATGTTGATTCGCTGTGTTGAAGTCCCCCAAATGGCTTTCTGGCACGATTCTGGATCGTCAAGACGCAGCAGTCAGGTTGATACGTGGCGTTGAAATCCCGAGAACAACTCAGGATATTCAAACGGTTGTCTTCCAACGAGCCAGTTCCCTCAATGGAAATGAACCGTCGTAGGGGCCTACGAAGAGGGAGCTTGGAGGGAGGGTCGATTCCAACATCGTTGACGATTCTTGGGTTTCCACTGGTCCTCCTCCGCCTCCTCTTCCTCCTCCTCCTCTTCCTCCTCCTCCTCCTCCTCCTTCTACTCCTCCTCCCCCTCCTCCTCCCCCTCCTTCTCCTCCTCCTCCTCCTTCTCCTCCTCTTCCTTCTCCTCCTCCTCCCCCCCCACCCCCCCCAGCTTGAGAGCGAGGCGGGCCAGCGCCGACGTGAGAGCAGCGCCTCCCCCGGGGAAGGGCTGGCGCTAGTCATATACATATATATATATATATATATGTATCGACGACTTGTTGTCTCTTTCGCTCTCTCTCTCTCTCTCTCCTTCGATGTGGGGTATCATACACGTTTTGATGACAGAGGTTATATGTACCAGTATCTCTCCCTCTCCCATCTCTCGCTCTTTCTCTCTCTCTCTCTCTCTCTCTTTCTCTCTCTCTCTCTGTCTCTCTCTCTCTCTAGAGGTGTAAATAGTTATACATAGCCATGTACATCCCCCTCTCTCTCGCTATATCTCTCCCTCTCTCCCTCTATCGTCCTCTCTCTCTCTCTCCTTCCCTCCCTCTCTCTCTCTCTCTCTATCGATCTGGCTTTCCCATCACACCCAAGTCTCCCGCAGGGAGCGCACGAAGGTGACGGCCTTTCGCGGCATGGAGGAGCCAAAGATATAGCCCGCGACTCGTCCGTGTGCTCCAGGGCGGCGCGCGAGGCGCGCACCTACGAGAGACCCGCTTCGCCTGTCTCACCCTACAGCCGAACCGAGGTATAAGATCTAGGTCGCTTCGGGGAGGGTGCCCTAATGTCCTTCATGTATGTTGGATGTTCTTTGGTGCATCCCGGGGAGGGTACCCTTGTATGTTCTGTGTGTTTTGGCCAAGGGGAGGGTCTCATGTTCTTGGAGGGTGTTCTTCTGTCTTAAGGGCCGACTGTATCACTCTCTCTCTCTCTCTCTCTCCCCAGGCTGATTGCATCAGGCGAGGGGCCCCCGGCACATTCTGTCCACGGCGGGGTGCACAGTGCCCCCCAGCGCCACGCGGCCACCGCTCTAGCTTGCGAGCGAGCGAGCACCGAGGCCTCTGCCACATCGCGCCGTGCCGCAGCCCGCGGCGCCCCTGGCGCACCCGTGCCGCGGCCGGCCCGGCGTGCCCGCGCTGCCGGCTGCGCGTCTGCCGCAAGGCCAGCGCCTCGCGACTGCACGCGCCATCTCGTTGTGGGTGGCATGTCCTCGCTGCTGCTGCTGCTGCTGCAGCCGCTGCTGCCACTACGACGCCCACCACCTTACCCGGACCCCCTTGCGCGCCGAACAAAGCGCACCGGTGTTGGGCAATTTGCGGCCTCCAGGGCCCCTCACCGGGCCTCGGGACCGTCAAAAATATCCATGATGAAAAAACCGGTCCCCAGGAAGAAATCCAGACTTTCGAGGGTCACGTCATGAAAAACTCACGACGTCAGAAATCTGGGTACCATTCTTCAATATACCATATTATTGCTCCGCCAACCGCTACACACAAGCACCCCAACGACGACAGCTACGACGGCAGTCAGAATATTTGGTGCTAGCATCCGATGCAGTAATTCCCGTCGCTCGTACTCTTAGTACACCACTGATTGCGAAGGCTGTTGCATAGCTAGTTATGGCTCTGTTTGTTCGGATTTCTCGACCACCACCATGCTTGCTACATGTTGCTACTACACCTACTACTCCTGGTAGCACTTCTATGCTTATTACAACTACTAGTGCTCTCCCACCGGGGCCTTCGGTTGCGCTCCCCGTGCGGCCACGAAACGTTTGAGAGGCGTGTCGAAGTGTGCGGGGAGCCGCGTGTGTACCCTCCCATTGGGGCCGTCGGTGGCGCTCCTCATGGGGCCACGGAACGCGTGAGGGGTTTGCCGAAATGTGCGGGGAGCCGCATGTGGACCCTTCCACTGGGGCCTTCGGTTGTGCTAATGTGGAGGTTCCCACTGTGGCCTTCGGTGGCGCTCCCTATCGGGCCGTGAAGCGTGCGAGGGGTGTGCCGAAGCAGAGACATGCGGAGGGTGCATGCAGGGAGGGGAAGAGGAGCGGAAACAGGAAGAAAGAAGGAATGACGCAGGGCGCTGCCTTGTTAAAACGAGGACCCAACACTACAGGATGGTTTGGACGAAAACAAACGATTTCGACCGCTGCCGCCGTCGCCGCCAACGTCGCGGGCTCCGCCGCCTTTGTCGCCTTCGCTGATGACGACGATGATGACGATGAGGATAAGGATGAGGATGAGGATGATGATACTGATGATGCTGATGATGACGATGATGATGATGAGGAGGAGGATGAGGAGGAGGAGGAGGAGGAGGAAGGAGAAGGAGAAGGAGGCGGAGGCGGCGAAGGAGGAGGAGGAGGACAAAGCAGGAGGAGGAGGAGGAGGAGGAGGAGGAGGAAGTCGCCGTCGCCACCGCAGTCGCCGTCGCCGCAGTCGTCGCGGCCGCCGTCGCCGTCGTGGCTCTCGCCGTCGCCACCGCCGCCGCCCTCGCTGTCGTCGCCTTCGCCGTCGTCGTCCTCGCATCTTCGCCTTCGCAGTCGTCGCCGCCGCCGTCGCCGCCGCCGCCGCCGCCGCCGCCGTCGCGTCATCGCGCTCGCTGCCGCCGCCGCCTCCGCGGGCGCGGGCTCCGACGAGGCCGCCGCTGCCCGACGCTGCGGCCGAGGCGGCCGAGCGGCTGTGCGCGCTGGCCCCGGGCGCGCCCGAGGCCTCGTCGTTCTCGCCTCCCTCCTGTCGTCCCTTTTTCTTCCACTTCTTATCCTCCTCTTATCTGTAGGGATGATTTCTACTTCACCTGCTCCTCCTCCTCCTCCTCCTCCTCCTCCTCCTCCTCCTCCAGGTTGTCTTGGTTCGGATGTTTGAGCCCTGCTTGTCCAAGCACGCAACGCCGTCGCGAGTCACTCGCCGAGATGTGGTCGCGGCACAGACCTCCTCCCCCTCCTCCCCCTTCTTCTCCTCCTCCTCCTCCTCCTCCTCCTCCTCCTCCTCCGCCTCCTCCTCCTCCTCCTCCTCCATGCGCGGCCACGGCGCCCGATGCATCTTCCAAGTCTCGGAGGTGGACAGAACCCCTTCCCTGACACATCGATTGGTGGATTATTCGTTTTCGGTTCTCGAGAGGGCGCCGTGGCCGTCATTTTCCAGGCTTGCGCTCGCCAGGTTTGGGCTGGAGATCGCCTTCACCAAACCACGTTTTACCAAAGGGGGCTCTCTGTCCGTCCCCGAAAGTATTTTTCAGACCCGCAGGCTCTGAGATATCCCCGATGTGTGTTCGTCCGATGTTGTCCTCGTCTTGCAGCCGTGTGTTGCGTCTCGATGCTTCTCCGATCCGCTCTCGATGGCTGGACGGCTGGGCCCTCGGAGTGGGAACGGCCTGCATAGGTGCGTTCACGGGCGGGGGGGGATAAGGAAGTGCGTGCGTTCCCCCGACGGTCAATGTATAGCCGAGCGTGCCATGCGCTGGTACATGCTTCCGCTTCCGAGCGTCCACCGCAGTATCGTTTAAACGACCCCCATTCCCATCCTTCTCCCCCTCGAGACCGTCACCAAATTACCACACCAGTTTGGGGATACACCCCTCGGAACCCGAAGAGAGCGGCCTGTGCCCACATCTAGGGGAGGCAAATCGGCCAGCGGGGCCCAGGCCACGCTGCTGGGCATAGGGGTCGGACAAACGACGCTCGCACCGCGCGCCGGATGCGCGAACCACTTCGGAGACCCGGCGGCGCACTCCCGTCGATTGGACGTAAGAGTGAATTTTCGCCAGAGTGACTTTTGGTGCGGGCCCACTGGGGCCCCCCGATCGCCGAACGCGATGCGATAGCAGCGTCCTGCGCGGTTGGAGTTGGCCGCACCGCGGCCCCCCAGAAGCTGCGCACCGAAGGTCACTCTTACCCAGGGTCACTCTTGCGTGTAGCCTTAAGTCGGGCCTGTCCCACTACAGGAGGAATATTCAAAAATAGTCAAAAAATAGTCTGGAGAAGATTTGTTTGACCATGTTTGGCTATTCTATTTTATTTTTTGAGTATTTTCATTTTTCGTCGAAAATCTCCCTGTAGGGGGAGACGCCCGACTTAAGTGTAGCCCATCCTGGAGCGACGTGCCGCGGGAGGGTCCGGCACCCAAACGGGGTGGTGACCACACCGTGCGGTGAGTTGGTGGGGATTCGGTGTCACCGCACGGTTTTGGGACTTGGGTCGTTCTCCGAGGACGTCTCGGGCGACAGGGGCCTCCAGGGTCCCAAGACCGTGCGGTGACGGACCGTGCGGTGAGGTCTTGGGGGATTTCGAGGTCACCGCACGGTCTGTCACCGCACCGTTTCGGGACTCCAAATACATTTGGTATAAGAGTTCTGTGGGGTTGCAATACATCTGGGGCGTGCAATACCTTCCAGGGCGCAGATGTACTGCTGCATTTCCGCGTGCAGCGCACTACTTGCAATACGATGCAGTACAACTCTCGGGCGCAATACGTTTGCAATCCAATTGCCCCAAATCTATTGCACCACCCCCTTTCAGCTGGACCCCCTTTTGGGTCACCCAAAATCCACAGCGTCATTAAACAATGGCTGAAGCATGGGCCAGGGGAGCGCACAATCTCGGAGCCCAGGCCCCCGACGTCGTGATTTTATCACAGCGTCGACCCCCAGAGGTCGGGGCCAGGTGTTTCACCCTGAGCCGAGGCCGAAAAGAGGGGAACACAAAAAAAAACTAGCGTCGTACTTGTTTCAGTTTTTCATCCTGAATCCTTTTTGGGCGGTCCCGAGGCCCCGGGCGGGCCCTTGGAGGTCGAAAAGAGCAAAACAAGTCGCGTCGTATTTTTGTTTCGCCTTTCAGCCTTAGCTGTTTCTTGACGGTCCCGAGGGCCGGTCAGGGCCCCCAGAGGCCGAAGAGAGCAGAACAAAACTCGCGCCGTAATTTGTTCATTGCCCAAGGGGTCTGGCAGCCCTTGGGGCGCGCCCTCGCGGCGGAGGGGCGCCTCTCCGAGAGGGCCGAGGGGGGGGCAGAGAGCGAGCTCTGTGTTGGCCGGGTGCGCGCACCACCCTGGGGGGGCACCAGCGGGAGTTTGAACGCCCGAAATGGGTACGGAAAGAGTGGGTACAATGCCCAACAACAAATGTTGTCCCAAACCAACAGCGGCCGCTGTTGGGCAGGCGGCCTTCTGTCTCGAATGAACACAGGCCGCGACGGCGTGGACAGCGAGTCCTGTTCAAAATGAACTAGATCCGCTGTTGGGCATTGTACCTATTCTTTCCGTGCCCATTTCGTTCGTGCAGAGGGAGGAAGTACATGCGCCGGCGGAGCGGACCACCTGGATCATCGAGAACAGAAAAAACACAAAAGAATCCATAACCTTATGTTGCTCCAACCTACTGTAGCCTCGACCACCAGGAAGAATTTCGAGCGCCCAAGAAAGTGCCGAAACTCAAGGGTTTTCACGTGTCGGGCCCTGGGCGACACTCGCCCGACACTGTTTCGACACTGTGTCGACACTCGTTTGACACTTTTCCGGGTGCTCGAAATTATTTCTGGGATGTGGTCCTTAAGTTGGGTGAGAACAACATAACCCGAACCCTAGTAACACGATGAAGACGTGGCCTCACTGACGTCCCCGTCTTTGCATGAGGGGCAAGAAATCTAGACGGTTTGATTCGATACATCTGCAGAACAACTTAGGTCCCCTTTCCCACAGGGTTAGAATTCTTTTGGTTACTCATTGGACACCCTGCAACAGTCACCACCCACCAAGACCGCCCCAACGCAACCCGAAGGCCCCAATGTGCCCTCCATTCCAAGAGGGGGGGCGGGGGGGGCGGGCGTCGGGGAGCACTGACGAAACACGCGTAGAACCCATACGCCCCCACCCGCCCGAAATTTGGGTCTTCGGGTTGGGTTGGGGTGGTCTGGTAGGTCGTCGAAAACGCGCTAGAATACGTCACATCCCCGAGCAGTTTTCGGGCCCAGGGAGCGGCGACCCCGGACGGCGGCCAATGCGTCAGCCGAGTCTATCCACCGCTCGAAAGCACTAGTTGGCCCCTGCCCATCGAAAGAGCGGTGCCACCAGTCTCGGCCGCCCCCCCGAGCGCCCGCTCGAAGGAGTTGGGGGACGATGACAAACAGACGGCGACGGCGACGACGACGGCGGCGACGACGACGCCGACGACGGCGGGGGCGGCGGCGTCGGCGTCGGCGAAGGCGACGACGACGCCACGACGCCACGGCGTCACGACGACGACGATGACGAAAACGACGATGACGACGGCGGCGACGATGAAGGCGGCGGCGGCGAGTTCGACGATGACGGCGACGGCGTCGGCGACGACTGCGGCGGAGGGCAGTGGCGGCGAGGACGAGGACGGCGGCGGCGACGCGGGCAGCGGCGACCCAGAGGCGGAGCGAGCCGCGGCCCTGCGCAACTGCACCGTGGCGATCTCCGCGCTGGGGCGCGGGCGGCGCTGGGACGCGGCGGTGTGGCTGCTCGCGCGGGCCAGGCTGGCCGTTTCGCGTCGTCTGCCAGCTGCGGGGATCGAGGATGGAGATGCTCGGCTGGTGTTCTGCCCGAGATCAAGCAGCGGCGAAGCGTCCTGGTTTGCCTTTTGGCCCACCAGAACTGTTCTAAGAACCTTTTGTGGTCTGCACGAGAAGTTCTTAGAACGCTTCTGACTGAGACCACCTTGTTTCAACACATCGGTTCACGTTGCAATAACACTGTTTTACTGCTATCGGAAGATGTCTGGGTTCTGAGAACACTTCGTGGTAGGCCTACAGAATGCTGAGACGGTCGGCCCCTGCTCAACGAGAGGCTCGGCGGGTGTCGCGCCTGTTCCACGCGCGCGGTGGAGAGGAAATCGGCTTTCAAGCGCAGCTGTTTTCTCACTGGCGTCGTGCCTTCTCAGACCTACCGCGATGCCTTTGAATTAGCCTTCGGAGGAGGAGTAGGAGGAGGAGGAGGAGGAGGATGAGGAGGAGGAGGAGGAGGAGCACCCTCGACCCGGCACCAGCTGTGGAGGCGTCTTGTCCGCTCCCACGTCCCCCTCCCCGGGAAAATGCCACGAGGGCTCCGCTGCTCGACGCTGCCTCGCACGTGGGAGCGCCCTCGGGGGGGCCTCTCGGCGTGGTGCTCCGCCGCCTCTGGGCCGAAGACCCTGTGCTCCCTCGACCGCAGCGCCTTGGCCGGCGGCGTCTCGGATCCGAGCTCAGCCGGCGGGCTGCGCTGGGGCAGATGGGGGCCCAAAGAATGTACACCACCACCACGTCGAGTCCTCCCCTCCCCTCTCCTCTCTCCAGCGAGAGGGAGGTGGGGAGGGAGGGAGGTGGTGGTGGTGGTGGTGGTGGTGGTGGTGGTGGTGGTGTGTGGTGGTGTGGTGGGTGGTGGTGGTGGTGGTGGTGGTGGTGGTGGGTGGTGGTGGTGGTGGTGGTGGTGGTGGTGGTGGTGGTGGTGGTGGTGGTGGTGGTGGTGGTGGTGGTGGTGGTGGTGGTGGTGGTGGTGGTGGTGGTGGTGGTGGTGGTGGTGGTGGTGGTGGTGGTGGTGGTGGTGGTGGTGGTGGTGGTGGTGGTGGTGGTGGTGGTATATTTTGGGGCCCCCCAGCAGAGGCGGCAGCGAAGTGCGACACACAGGGGGGGTCTCGGCAGCAGATCCTGGGAGCCTGGTGGTGCACCCTCTTGCTATGCCGTGCCGTCTTCTGCGTCGGCTCGCGGCGGGTTGGCCTCTGGGAGTCGATGCGGTAGCGCCGGTTCAGCGTCGATGGAGCGTCGATGGAGCGTCGATTCGCAGGGGCCGGCTGGATGGCACGGGAGGCTCCCCTGTGTCCTGCCACCGGAGGGGGGGGAGGAGGCACGAGGAGCAAAGAGGAGGCGGCCGCGCGCGGCCGAGGAGGGGGGGGCCTCGGCAGCGTGCAGTTCTGCGGGCACGGTGCGGGAGCAGGCTGGATGCACGTCGAGGATCCCAGACCCCTCGGGCAATGGAAAATCATATTTTTGTCTCTGTTTCCGGCCTCTTGGGGGCCATTACCGGCCCTCGGGACCGTCAAAAAAACGAGGGTGAAGAGCCGGTCCAGGGGGGGGTCGGGGCGAACGAAAGGGGGGGATAGGGAAAGGGGGGGATCGAAATCTGGTGCATGCAGCTGGTCTCAGCCCCGCCGTCAGGCCCATGCCTCGATACATGGGCGCCTCCCGGCGCCGGGAGGCGCCGGGAAAATCAGCTACGCGAGCCGATTCTCAAACCCCCCCTTTGCTATCCCCCCCTTTCGCCCGGCCCGAGAGACCTCCAGAGGTCGACGCAGTAAAAAAATCGTGGCGTCGGGGGTCTGGGATCCTTGAGCCCCCCTCTTTGCTACCCCCCCCTCTTTGCTATCCCCCCCTGTCGTCCGGCCCGAAAGGGGTCGAGACCTCCACGCGTGCCGACGTGATTCAGGAGGGGAAAAAGCACACAGACACAATGAATCGTCGATTCCCCAGAAAATGTGGGAAAACATGGGAAATGTGGGGGAAGACAGAACCCCCCAAAAATGTTGGAACATATGGGGGATCTTTTTTATTTTTGTGTCTATCTACTTTTGTGTGCCCCAGGGCCGTCGGGGGTCCGAGGCGAAGAGCGCCCCCCTCGGCGGTCGCGGGCGGGCGGGGCCCCCACGGCGGCGCGGCGCCACGCGCTCGGGGGAGAGCGCAGGACGCGAGCCCGCCGGAGCTCGGGTCATCGCCTCTTCGCTGTTCTGTCGAGCCCGGCGTGGGGTTTTGGCGGTCCAGCGTTCGCGGGATGCTCGCCTCCGGCTTCCTGCTCAAGGCGTAATACCTTTGCATGCCCTTCGCCCTCGGCACCGCCCGATGCCGGGGCTTTGCCCTCTCTTGGCCTTGACGTGAGGCCATTCTTTCATGCCTTCCCCCCTGTGTCAATTGAAGCCGTGCGCGGCCCGCTTAGCTTCGACCGGAGGAGGTGCGCTCTCGACCCGCGGATCCACAAAAGTCCGCGGGATGTCTGCAGCGGGAGCTCGCGCCAACTTTCAGGTTGGGTCTCGGCCTTTCCCGGATATCGCCCCTGTCAGGCCGGCCAGAGTCCCCCGTATTCCCGAGCCCTGCGCTTCCCCGGTACGACTTGCCAAACCACCCCAACGCAACCCGAAGGTCCCAGACACCCCCAAATTTCGGGTTGGGCGGTGTGCTCGAGCGGTGGTCAAGCGTCCTGGCTTGAATGTCGGCCCACAGAAGAGTGTTCTATGAGCCGTATGTGGTCTGCACCAAATGTTCTTAGAACGCCTTTGCTTTGTTAACGTTCTAAGAGCATGGTTTGCGTTCTTGGAACATTTCTGGGTTCTCAGAACATGTCGTGGTAGGCCTATATGAATGCCGGGACGGTCGGTCCTGCTCGGTGTCTCACGATTTGCCAAGCCACCCCGACCCAACCCGAAGGTCCCAGGCGCCCCCAAATTTCGATTTGACGTGTGTACGGGATCCTCCTCGGAAACTGGGGCATACAAATTTCCAGAGGCGTTTGTTTTTCAATCCAAGGAAATTCTGCGGGTCGGGGACGACGCCGGAGTGGTGTGGTGTAATTGTTTCCGCGTTTTTCCCGGGAAACAACGAAACATGTTTTCACCATAATCCCGTTTGCCCGCATTCTTGGGCGAGTTTCGGTGCGGGGCCGGAATGAGCGTCGGTGTATATAGAGTTCGGCTCTTCGTTGGAGGGTGTACGGGTTCCTCCGTGGTTTCTCTATGTTCCGGAACACGCACACACGCGCACACACACACACACCAGTGGAAATTGGCAGGCCCAACGGCGATTTCGGGGCACAGACATGCGCGTCCTGAGTTGTTCAATACAGGGCCCCTGGAAGTCCCGACCTTTCCCCCAGGACCGGCTTTTCGTCCCGAGTTGTTTGTGACGGCCTTGGGGACCGGCAAGGGCGCCCCTGGTGCCGAAAATAGCGACAGACCGCCCGTCGTGATTTTTCCCAACCCTCCTGTGTTGGGTTCTCGTTTTGAATGGAGCAGTGTGGTTGCCCCGTCCTTCCTCCTCCTCCCCTCTCCTCCCCTCCTCCTTCTCTCCTGTCTCCTGTGGTCCCTTCTCCTCTTCTCTCGTGTCGTCTGCGATCTGCGCAACTGTCGCCACGTTCGTGGGCTCCTGGGAGGCCCAGCGGAGGTAAGTACGTCCCACGCGGATCACCTCGGTACCTCGCCGCCCCCTGGTGGGCTTGCGATCTGCGCAACTGTCGCCACTTTCGTGGGCTCCTGGGAGGCCCAGCGGAGGTACGTCCCACGCGGATCACCTCGGTACCTCGCCGCCCCCTGGTGGGCTTGCGATCTGCGCAACTGCCGCCACTTTCGTGGGCTCCTGGGGGGCCCAGCGGAGGTACGTCCCACGCGGATCACCTCGGTACCTCGCCGCCCCCTGATGGGCTTGCGATCTGCGCAACTGCCGCCACTTTCGTGGGCTCCTGGGAGGCCCAGCGGAGGTACGTCCCACGCGGATCACCTCGGTAGCCCCTTGGGGGGCTTGCGATCTGCGCAACTGTCGCCACTTTCGTGGGCTGCTGGGAGGCCCAGCAGAGGTACGTCCCACGCGGATCACCTCGGTACCTCGCCGCCCCCTGGTGGGCTTGCGATCTGCGCAACTGTCGCCACTTTCGTGGGCTCCTGGTAGGCCCAGCGGAGGTAACTCCCACGCGGTGACTGGGTGCTCCTGCTTATCCTCGATGCCGCGACTGTTTGCCTTCATTTTTGGGATCTTTTCTCTGGGTTCGCTGCCGCGCCCTTTTGTCTCCACTTTTGAGTGAATCTCCGCCCCCGTTATGCACCTCATGCATTTGCCTCTTTCAGCGCAGCGCGTTGCTGAGTTAAACCGATGTTCTGGTTTAGCCCTCGCCGCCCCCCGCTTTTGTGTTTCTTTCAACGCCCTCGTGCTTCCATTTTGTATGTTTGCTGTTCCTCTTCTTGATGCTCTCTTCTGATTTCACTCCTGAGTGCTCTTCTTGCGCACTGCGGGTCCTTCAGACTACCAGTCAGCATTGAGCGGTCCCGAATATAAGCGCCACGTGTCTAAAGAGGCTTGGGCACGTCGCAGGGTTTGCTTTCTTGTGCGACGCGATCCTGCCTGGGAGTGGAGACTGGCAGGCCGAAACGGTGATTTCGCGTGGGGCTGGGGTGGCCTGGTGGGCAGCAGGTCGGCATCGATACGGCGGCTGCTCCCTCCGCCTCGGGAGGCCTCCGTGGGGCCTCGCGCCCAGGCGCCCCGCCACCGCGGAGGGGAGGGGCCCCGTGGGCACGAGGCTCGAGGGTCGAGGCCTTGGGGTCTCTCGCGCGCAGCCCCCCTCGCGCCGTGAAGAACAGCGACGGCATGTTTCTCGTCACTTCCCGCCTCCAGGGGCCCTCGCCGGGCCTCGGGACCTTCCAGCGACGACCCAGGATGAAAATGCGGTTCCCGGGAAGGGGTCCAGGCTCCTCGTGGTCACGTGACGAAAAGATCACGACGTCGGGGGTCTGGGTTTGGGATGTCTCTCGTGCATTTCGGCGGCGAGCGAGGTGGGGAAGTGAGTAGGAGAAGGCCTTCTCGGAAGGCGGCGGGGCTTCTCGGAAGGCTTGTAGCCTTCTAAGAAGGTCTCTGCGTCTTCGCGGAAGGCTTTCAGAAAGGTTCTCAGATGGCCAGGGGGCGTCCGAGCCAATGTAGTCGACTCGCTCGGCAATGATGAGCGACCTTCCATAGGTTGCCCTTGCACCCTCCCCCCCTCGGCCCATCCTGGGCCGCTTCCGCTCGCCGCGTCCCGCTCGCAAAGTGTCGACGTGGCCTTCCAAGGGCCCTTGCTGCATCCTTTACCGCGCGCCCTGAATACGGTTAAGTCGGGCATGTCCCTTTACAGGAGGAAGATCCAGAAATAGTAAAAAAGGAGTGGGGGGACGATTCTGCGACTACGTTTGCCCATTTTGGGGTATTTGTTTGACTATTTTTTATGGTTCCTCCAAAATCCGCCTGTAGGGGGACATGCCCGACCTAACCACGCGGGTTGGCTGCGCAGCTGTGTGGCCGCCTGGAGGCTCCCGGCCGGCCAGCGGCCGGCTCCGCTTGGAGAGGCTTGCCCGTACGCCGCGGCCCCAGAGGAGGTCCGAGCCGCACGGCCAGCACCTGCCGCCGGACCGAGGCGTGAGGTCGAGGTCGGCTCGGGGAGGCTGCTCTGTCAAGCAGTGGCGAAGCGTCCTGGCTCGCCCAAATCCCTACCGAGCAATGCTCTAAGAGCCGGTTGTGCTTTCCACGGCATGTTCTTGGAGCATGTTTGGTTGATATTGTCTTGTGCTATCACATCGGGTGTATGTTCTAAGAACATGGTTTTTGTTCTTAGAACATGTGTGAACCTTTTCGTGGTAGGGACTATAGGAATGCCGGGACGGTCGGTCCCTGCTCAGTTTTGGTGTTCTTCGTGCTTGCTGGGTGTTCTGGTGCATTCCGGGGGATACTCCAGACCACCTCAGGCACACAATATTGGCAGCCGGAGCGTGGATCACTTCAGGCATACTGTTGCTTCCGGCCATTTCGCTGCGCGGGAGGGGAACAAAACGTTTCACACAGTATCGAGAGTGGCCGACACGATTTGCTGTCCGCTGTGTTGTTATGGCATGACCTCGGGGCCCACCTCACGGGCACGGTGAGGTTGCCATTGGTCTGCTGAGTGGGTCGGCATCCTCTTGGTTGAAAGAATCCTGGGGGAGGGCGCCCTCGAGTGATCTCAGGGTCTGGGGTGTGTTGGCCGGCGGGGCGTCTCATGTTGTTGCAGGATGTTCTCCTGGCATGGGTCCGACCTGTACGTGCTGCCAGCGCCAGCAACATCGCCAGCCGCGACACCAGGGGGGCCACCGCCAGCCTCAGCGCCGCCATGAGCATTGGAGTCAGTAGCAGCACCACCGGCGCGACACTTTCCATCAGCGGGCTCTTGTGCCATAGAGCCGGTGAAGGCGCTCGGGCATAAGCAAGAGCTGGCCGCTTTGGGCGGAGGGAGTGGTGGCGCGGAGGGAAGGGGACGAGAAGGAGGAGGAGAAACTGGAGCCCTCTTGGAGCGCTCTGGGGGGCCGTCCTTGGGGGCCTCTTGGGCTCCTCCTGGGGCTC